CAAAGTTGAAGGGTCAGACAAAATGTTAAAAGGCATGAAAGAAGATGTGTCCACCCTTAGCCAGACCGTCACCTCCCATTCAGTTTCGATCAAGTAGTTAGAGACCCAAATGGGTCATATCTCATCTCACCTCAATTCGAGATAGCAAGGGGGTTTGCCTAGTGATACTATGGCTTACCCCAAGAATGACGTTTGAAGGTGGACTTGTGTCATGCCATAACGTTAACTAAGGAGCTGTTTGGGAGGCAACCCGAAACCCTTTTATAGCTTTATGTTGGTTTTAGAAATAATGGTGTGTTAATTGTGCAGTATTAAGTGTGGGAAGCATTTGGAAAGAAATAGATTGGTGAGAGAAATATTTGGTTGGCGAGTCACCAAAGTATTAGGTGACTCGACTCACACCGCCGTTTGATCCAACCCAGTTTGGGTTTGGGGTCTGTAAAACTCGATGGGCCCAAAGAAATGATAGGCGAGTCACCGATGAGCTCGGTGAACCCGATTTGTATCGTCGTTTGGATTCCCAAATTAACTGGGGGATTCTGTAAAAATTGATGAAGAATGTAATTGCTCGGCGTGACACCGAATGGTTCGTCGCTCACGACTAATGTCGCCGAGTGGCCAAGAACTGGACGGTTTTTCATGCAAAAGGTTTAAAAGTTTCAATTTCCTACGCTCTCCCTCATTTTCAAACTTTACAAACTCACACAAAGTTTTACTTTCAATATCGTTACATCTCTATTGTATTTTCGTTATTGAATTGTGCTCGGATCTGGAATGCGTTGCCGCCTAGCATCTTAGCAGCATCTTAATCCGCATCTAAGGTTGCTTTTCGAGCCCTAAGTTCCTTTTATCAAAAGTTTTGCTCAAATGCAATGACATTATTTCAATAATGTGTGCTGGTCCTCTCTGGTAGGATTAGAATTTTTGTTTGCTTTCTTTGATTTGATAATATTGACCGTTCTAAGTTAAATAGTTGATCCCTGAAAATTGTGGCCTATAGTGGATGAAAAATTGTGGGTTATGCATAAGTGTCGCTGGGTCTTAGCCTAATTTGGCAATTGCATATTTTGATTTTGCTTTCGAGGGTTACGGGGTTGAATTCGAGAAGATGGGTTGAAAATAGGTACGTTGAGCCATTTGGCGAACTGAGTTGAGCTTGCCGAACCACTCGACGGTTCGCCTAACGTCCCCATCTCGCCTTTAATTTAATGATAAATATGTTGTTGATTTTGTAACTTTCGGTGAAAAGACTGATGTCACCAAACGCACTCGACGTCTCGCCGAAAGACCGCTTGTTCACCCTTTGGCTGCACCGTTGTATCCTCTGTGCATTGGACTAGGTGAATCACCTAAGTGGTTGCGCATTTCGCCAACTGGTTCGGTGGAGTTTTTCTGCAGATGAACTTCTATGTTTTTGTTCAGATATTTTTTAACTCTTTCCCAAAGTTATGTAGATATGGTTAGACCAAAAGTAGCTGGAAGAAATAGGCCAACCCGATAGATAAGAGAAAAAAATTTCAGGAAAGGTACAAGTGAAGTGAATCCTCCCAAGATGGGAAATGAGGGCAAAAAGCCTAGTTCCAGCAAGAGATCTATCCCCCGAGATCCCACTGTCTGTTCGTGGACTCGTGGATTTTGTACAGTTATACATTCCTTCTTGGCGGCTCATGACTTGGACAATTTCAGCAAGCCAATTGTCGCTGAACCTTCTGAAGTAGCTCCGGGGACTATTATTCAACCCCTGACTGACACATCGGGCACTTGTGCCCAGACAGATAGAGCGACTGTGTAGACAGGAGTTTTCTCTACCTCCCTCTCTATTTTTCTTTATTCTAAATTTGGGATATTATGTTGATTGCATTTGAGGACAAATTGCTTTTATTTGTGGTGGGGTGAAGCCCACCTTTCTGTGTTATTCGTGAATTGTGTTTCGTTTATGTATTTAGGTTGGAAGCTATAATTGTGTTAAATACTGCTTTCGTGGAAGGTTTGAGCTTATGGCTCCGTGTTTTCCGTGTTTTAAATTGTAAAATGATTTTGACCCTTCCAAAATTTTTTTGCCACCCCTTCTTTGTTGAATGTGGCTATTCCTTCACAAATTTGAGTATCAGTTCCGATCAATACCGATGACTTGGATAGTGCTTATAATCGAACAAACTTGAATGTGCGGCTACAATGAGGCCAAATGAAGGTGCATAGACAATATGTGAACTCTTTGCATCTCATTGTGATTAGCCAATGATCAAATCGAGTCTCTTGTGATGATCGTTGCACACTAGCGAAAGTGTGGAGTCTTGTTTGACTTATAATGTCAATGCCTAGTGTGATGAGCTTACCTGTGAACTATGCATGATGGATCCTAGAATTTGTCCCGTTGGTCTGGTCAACTAAGTGATGTTATCTCTTGATATGATCTTAGGCAACTTCTAAGAGTGTGAGCGAATTTGATATATACCTCTTTTGTGGCCTACCTTGTGAGTGTGTGAACTGCTTTTGAACACCCCTCGAGCCTTACCTTTCTTTGGAAGAAACTTGATGAAAACTAGACCTCTCTTAATCCACTACCTATAATCCTCTTGATTTGTGGTTGATTAAATAGCCAACTTAGGCCAAAAGCCTAAGTTGAGGGTGTGGCGAAAAGAAAAGGGAAAGTCAAGAAGTGCAAGGAAAGTCTCCTTTAAGCCATGGTGTTGAGAAAAATGGAACCCCTCCATATAAAAAAAGAGAGAAAAGAATGGAAAAGAAAGTTGTGGATTAAAGTACAAAAGAAATGGGGTTTCCAAATAATCCATGAAGAGTGAATAATAGGATGACTTATGAGCACTAAAGAGAATGATGAAGGAAAAGGAAAGGAAGTGTTGTGAACGCCACATTTCATGAGGATGAAAGTCATTGAGCCTAAAATGACCATACCTTTACGCTCACCCCCATTACAAGCCTTGAAAGGACCTTTTGGATCTTGAGTGATCTGAAGCAAGTGTTGATTGGAAAATACGGGCAAATCTATGGGTGAAATTATGCATTGTGTTCTTCTTTGTAAGTGTGAGAGTTGCATCTGATTCTGAAGCTTTAAAATGTGAACCATTGTGTGAATATGGAATCATTCTTTGTGTGAGGGCATTTGAACACTATAGTTGAGCTTGAACTTGAATTTGAAGCAAGTATTGTAAGTTCAAGATTCTTTTCGAATGGTAAGTCATAACTTGAAACTTTGAGTGCACATTTGATCCTTTCATGAGTAAGTTAAGTCTTGTTGTGTACATTTATGATTGATTCTTGTATAACACTGTTTGAGACACCCTTTTTGAACAGTCGAACTAGAGTTTGCTTGAGGACAAGCAAGATTTTAAGTTGTGGGTGTTGATGAGTCCACAAATTGGACTCATTTAAGGCTATATTTTGATAGAATTAGTGTCCTCAAATACATATTTTGTCTTAATATTTGATGAAAACCCTTAAGTTTCAGGTATTTGGAGTTGGAAGGAAACATGGACACTACTTAGCAAAAAGGAACAAAGGCAGCTTAAAGAACGAATAAATGAAGATTTGAGAATCGCCGAACCCATTCGGCGAGTCGCCAAAAGGTCTTATCCTCTCCTTTTGTTCCACTGTGCTGAGCCCTGAAAGAAATGATCAAATCGGCGATGAAAAGGTGCAGTTGGCGTGTCTCCAAGTAGTTCTGCAAAGTAGTACTATGTCGCCCAATGATCCAAAACATGACGATGTTGAAGGATAGAGCAAGACGGTGATAAAACCTACCAAAGGGCGGATCGCCGAGTTGATCGATGATCTCGACTAATGGCGCCAAATGATCCGCTGCAGCATAAATTTTTAAAAACTCTAAATACTCGTTGAGAGTTGTAACTTAATATCAGATTTTTAATATATAATTTTTAACATAGAATTTTGAGTTCTAAGTTTGGAGAGGGTTTTGAAGAACTTGAAGATTCAAAGGGTTTCAACTCCAATATTTTTGACTTGGGTCTTGTGGATTATTCACTCTTTTCTTGTTTTGAGACTTAAATCTTCATACCCATTTGGATGCAAACTCATATTGGTATAAATTTCTATCTCTTTTACATGTCTAGCTAAAACCCCAATTCTTGGGGTGTGATTTTGTGAATATGGGTTAGATTATCTGTTGGGTCTTGCTTGTTGATGATTTATTTGTTGTTTAGATGTGATTTCATTTAGTAGTTGTGGTGGAACTTAATGAAATTGTAGTTTCAAATACGATTTCACCTTTGTTTTTTTGGCTTGCAAGAGAGAGATGTCGTAAAATTAAGACTACTGAATTGATGGCCGGTGGGATTGGGTCGACATCAGGTTTAGCTCGAGAGAGTGAACCCTATTCCTTCTCCCAGACACTCTTCTCGAGAGAGTGAGTGGGCTAAGGCAGAGGTTTTTCTTCATGCGGCAACTCGGTGTTCGAGAGAACCGAGTTGATTCGGGGTAAGTTGCTCGAGGGAGAATTTACCCCTACTATAGTCTTGCGTAGTCACAAATATTCAACATATTTATTATCAAAAACATGTACCCAATAGTTTAGTTTATCCCGTATTCCTATCACATCCCAAGAATCCCCTCTCCTTGATTAGTACTCATATTTTCGCTGATTTTTGTTTACTTGTGACAAACCCCTATTGTTAATTGACACTCTTATCTCACCCCTTTGATTTAACATGTTATTATTCGATAATGTTTTTAGCTATGACTAGTTAGGACTAAATTTTATATTTCTATTAATTCTCAAAACCACTCCCTTGGGACTCGACCCCAACCCTTGCTTGGGTTACTTTACTATTGTACCATCGTAGACACTTGCATTGGAATTTTTGTCTTGAATAGGCAATAATCAGCAGCAGATGAATCATTTGTCTAGTACAGTGAACCCATATAAGCCTGGCACACTTCCTAGCAACACCATCCAAAATCCGAAGAATGATGGGCATTGTATGACAGTCACTACTCGATGAGGTAAGCAGACCATTAATCCACCTATGCCGTCTGAGGTTGAAGGTGAGGTTAGTAAAAATGATGATGATGATGAGATTGAGGTTACTGGAGAGTCCAAGAATGCTACAGAGAAGGAATTGGAGATAACCCAAAAAGTTGTTCCCATGCCTAGACCTCTACCTCCATTGCCACAGAGGTTAGTGAAGAAGACGGAAGAGGGGAAATACCGCAGGTTTATTAGTATGTTGAAGCATATTTCCATCAATGTTCCATTGATAGAAGCTTTGGAGCAAATACCTGGGTATGTGAAGTTTATGAAAGATTTGGTGACGAAGAAAAAGGGCCGTGAGTTTTGAAGATGATGATAGGTTGCAACATTGTAGTGCTATTGCTACAAGATACCTTGTGCAGAAAAAAGAGGATCCTGGTGCCTTAATTATTCCATGTACTATCTGGTTGTTGCATTTTGCTAAGGCGTTGTGTGATCTGGGTGCTAGCATTAATCTGATGCCTTTGCCTATTCACAAGAAGTTGGGTTTAGGAGATCCAAAACCGACTGCGATGCGATTGCTCATGGCCGATAGAACTGTGAAAAGGCCCATTGGTGTGCTCCAAGACGTATTAGTGAATGAGGAGTTTTTTATCTTTTCGGTGGATTTTCTGATACTTGATTATGAGGTTGATTTTGAGGTTCCCATTATCCTTGGGAGACCATTCCTTTCCACTGGGCGTGCCTTGGTCGATATGGAGAAAGGGCAGATGAAGTTCCAATTGAATAATGAACAGGTTAGTTTCAACATTTGCAGATCCATGAAGCAGAGTAGTGAGCTCAAGTATGTATCAGTGGTTAATCATAATGTAGAGAGTGGTTCTGAGGTGCCTATTGAAGAGAGGTTGGGTGTTGATGCACTAGCAGCGGTAAAGAAGTAAAGTATATTGTTTCCACTATCTTTTAGTAGGACCCATTTTTTTGTCGGTAATATCTTAGCCGTCCATTTGTATGCCTAAGATATAAAGGCAAACTATCTGATGCCTCTAAAGGCATAACATTCCATTCATATTGTCCGAATGGGACATTGAAAGCAGTTTTATACTTGTCTTTTTCTGAAATTTGAATTTGCCAGAATCCTGATTTCATATCAAATTTGCTGTAAATGTTGGCTTTAAAAGTTCTTTTTTAAAGATCTTGTTTGTTAGGTATGGGGTACCTGATCCATTTTAAAACAGAATTAATAGGCTTGTAATTGATTACAAGTCTTGGTGCTCCTCTTTCTTTCTCTGCGTTTTTGTTGACATAGAAAGCAGAGCAACTCCAAGGGGATTTAGAAATCCTAATAATCTTATTTTTTAAAAGAGTATCAATCTCCTTTTAACAAAATTCCATCATTTCATGATTCATCTGAATAGGTCTTGCCTTAGTAGAAATAGCATGTTCATTGAATCCTTTAATGTATGGTAAATCAACTATATGTTTCTTACGTTCCCAAAAAGCATTAGGAAATCAGAACATATTTCTTTTTCAATTTTTTCTTGAAGATTAGGTATCTTAGTAACTATCTCCGGGGTTTTTAAAATCTGTTTGATTTTCTTAACACGAATTTCATAATTTAAAAAGGTGATATGTTGTGAAAGGTTATTAATTTTGAAAACAGTGTTTTCTCTTACAAAATTATTTTCATCTTGTGAAAGGGTTTTAACAAAAGGAAAATGTAAATCTTTTCCAAGAATAGTAGTAGTAAAGTCATCAAGGTCAGTAAAATAAGGTTTTATCTGAGTGATAAAAGGTATTCCAAGAATAATATCTTCATTGATATCTTCAGTAATAACAAAATCATTTGTTAGACAAATGCCATTATTGCAAATATGAGCATTAGAGAGCTTGTAATTTATTTTCAAATGTTCTCCTGTAGCAGAGTATAGTTTTGAAGTACTTGTTTGTAAATACTTGGTTGGAACAATACCTTTTACAATGCAATTCCTATCTGCACCACTGTCAAGCGAAGCACTTTTGTGAATAAAAAATGTTTACTAACGACTATTTTTACAAGTATATGATGACTCTGAGGTCTAATAGAAGAAATTACCGTTACTCCTGGTGCTGCAGAGGAGGAGGTGTCATTACCTGTATTGGTAACAAAAGGTTCAACTAAATGATCATTATTGATATTGGAGGGATCAATACCAATGTTATCATCAAGGTCTTCGTGAGAAGAACTCTGGTTGGACTCAAGGTCATGGAAGGCAGCTCTTTTAGGAACTTGGCTTGTGAGAATTTCAGTTTCGACAATATAAAGTCGAGATTTAATATTTTTAATCTCTTATTTGAGACTAGATACTTCATGACGAAGATCTGAAATAGATGGTTCGAAAAGGTTATCTGAACGATTCATGATTTGTTTCATACTGAAAGGTTCAATTATCGGACGGGTTTTAGGTTTGTCCTTATTGAGAAGAAGATTTTTGAGTTCTAGGAGAAAATGATTCCTAGCCTCATTATCATTAATGTGTTGGATGACATCAAAGAGAGCTTCTTTCGAATGGTCAGAAAGTACTCGAATTTGAGGTGTAATATCACAAGTACAGAAAGCTTCAGTGCAAGTGCAATCTTTTCCTGATTGGCTAGCATCTGAATCATAATCAAGATCAATGTCTTCATCATCACTGTATTCATCAGATGCACCTGAAGATTCAGAAAAAGGTTCATCAAGAATAGCAAGAAGTTTACCTTTGGTTTCTTCATCGATATTAAGAAGATTAATCTTCTTTTTCTTGGTTTTGGAGCGACATTCATTGGCTTTATGACCAGTCTTGCCACAAGTCAAACATACATCTACTTTGGCATCATTAGGTCTCTTGGACCTAGATTTCTTTTTCTTAGGCCTGGTAGAATCATCTCTTCTTCGAGAGTTCTTCCTATGGGATTTTTCCTTTTTGTCTTTCTTGATTTTATCTGGTGGAGTGATAAAACCAAAATCCCTGCAGAAACTTCTAAGTTCTTTTCTGGATGAAGATTGTTCTTTCTTGAGCTGATGTTTGAGCTTAATATATGTGCAAAGCTCAAGGGATACAATATTGATGGTGCTTACCAAATCACCATAAGTAAGATTGCCATAGGGAATATTACCATTATTGCGATCTTGGATTTTTGTCCTTACCTTATCCGCAAAGAGAGGGGGCAAGCCACTGATGAATCGTTCTTTCCAGAAATCCAAATTGCAATCTGGGTGAATCATGACCTTACTGAGAAAGGCATGTTTGTAATGGATGAATTTGTCTAAATTTGGACAACTTAGATTGTTTAGGATTTGGAGACTCCTGTCTTGGAACAATTTTGGTTCTCCAATAAAGTACTTGATAATGTGGTAAAGCAAAGTAGCACAAGCATCTTCTCTTGTGACAGTAGAAGTGGATGGTGTATTACCTTCCATTTTTACAACTGTCTCTGTTGCAGTGGCGTTAGCAATGAGTTGCTTGATCTCATCAGTGCAATAATTATCCCACCAATGTTTCAACATTCCTGTGAAACCTGCAATGACCATATTAGTAGCATCTCTGTCTGCTGACCCACACATTTTATATTCAGTAATAGCCACACCCATTTCATGGAGTTTATTGTAAACTTGATGCTCAGCTAGGCCATTAATATTCTATTCAGTGATGCTTCTTTCTTCATGAGAGGAAGTGGATAAAAAGGCATTTTCCTCATACTGTAAGTCTGGAAAAGATGGTTTATCATGGTAGTTTTTCATATTGTGAAAACGACTACTGGCAAGCTTTTGGAGAAGATTGGATTTCTCTTGGGCCTTGGAATTGGGTTCTTCATGGAGGGTAGAAACCTTTTTTGAAGTTTTATCCTCCTTTACAGAGATGTTGAAATTATTGAGCTGTGCATTGATTTTCTCAATGATGTTTCCGGTTACTTCAAAAGTATCAGAAAGTTTTGGGAATTTTTCTTTGGAAAATTCAGGAATTTTGAATCCTGGATAGGTTTCTATATTATGGTTGGAGGAAGTAGAAGCTGGGGTTGGCCTCCCACTGAGGCTAGGTTTAGTATCTTCTATTTGTCTGGAGAGAGTATGAAGGATTTGATTAGAATAATTGTTTTGTTCAACTACTCTGTCAATATCTGCAGATGTGAGTGGTCCACATGCCTTATCACTTTTCTCTTTGAAGGGAGAAGCTTTGATTACTGTACCTGCAATAGGGATGTTAATTCCTTCCAAAGGAGGGGTGATGGATTCAACAACTTTATTAGAAGCAGTGTACCACTTGTTAATGATAACTTGTAATGACTCAGTACAATTTTCAATCCTACCAGTCATTTCAAACCATTTGAAGAATTCGATTTCACAACCAATTCTTCTCATGTCCTTCATCCATAAATCTCTAAAGGATTCTCTTTGCTTAAGAGTATAAGAAGAAACATACCATTTTCTCTTTACTTGATTGTCAGGATGAGTCCATTGTTCTTGTAGGATGCCAGAGTTGGGTTCAAAGGTTTTGTTCACTTTGAGCATTTCTAACCAAGATGGCTTTTCCTTGGGAGATTCCATCTCACTTGCAGTAGGACTACCTGGAATATCTTGGTAAAATACTTTGGGTACATTACCTAAAAAGTCTACTTCTGTGACTTTACCTTTACTGTTGTCAGCAACAGAAATGATCTCATCATCATCTGCTTCCTCCGGGGTTTTTGAAGAAGAAGGTGGTCTGGGAACGGGTCTCGAGGGACATGACGTAGAAGGGGACCATGACGACCTTCGATTCGAAGAAGATCTTCTTGCCGGATTGTCTAAGAATTTAAGTTCTATAGACCCATCTGGAAACTGAATAACTCTTTCGATCTGTGATCGCTCAGAGTGTGAACCAAAGGGTTGAGTTATGTTTTCAAAACGCCAATCATTACTGGAGAGTATATCTTTCCATTGTAAAGTTCGAGGAACAAAGATGGAACTATGTTCATGGTTGGCTTCCATAAGCATAGTCTCATCCCTTATACTCGTATGACGAGCCTTAGGAGCAAGGTGAGTTTTCATGAGACGATAATAAACTCGATAGATAATAGCTATTTCACGAGTATTGATTTTACTGTTCAAGTTTTTTGTTTTGACATTGAGGGTCAATGAATCCATGACATTAGGATCATTAATGTCAACAGAGAAGTTAGGATAACAATTAAAGTAAACTGGCCCATCAGTAAGATTACTCTGCAAAACTCCTAACATAGAGTCATCAAAATTTAAAAACCTGCCATCTCTAAGGATGACACAAACAGGAATATCAAGGTCTTTTCTAGAGAGAGGCGTTACAGCAACTTGTACTAAACCGATATGTAAATAGTTATAATCTGATTTATAACGATTTATATCATTTTCTTTAAGAAGTTGAATAATTTCTAAAGAATTGTTAATAGCAAAAGTAGACTCACAAGTCTTAATATTTCAACGAGTAAGATAACTAAAATTACCTAAGTGGTAAATCTTTTTGAAAGGTTCTTCTGGAATGCTTCAGTTTTGTAAATCATTTTCTAATTTAGCCATCTTTGTAGATTGCGAAGATAAATTTATACTATTTAAAATATTTTGATTATTTTCCATATGATTAAAAATACTGTCTAAGGCATGGCAAAATTATTTTAATGTAGTATTTTAATAATTTCCATCACAGGCCCCAGGTACCTCTACCTATGCCCAACCCACTAGGATCACTCATGCTATGCTCTTTAAGATCGGGCACCTGGCCCATTCAGCTGATGTGAGGGTGACCAGGCTTGAGAGATCGATCCCATGGATGATCGACAGTGATATCATTGCTAGAGTGACCCCCCTCCAGACTTCTATTGACACTCTCACCACGAGAGTTGAGGCTTGTGAGAGCTGGCAGGGAGAGACCTCTGAGGTTATATCTTGAAAGCCGAAGTTGCTGATTTG